AGCAGCAACAACAACAGAAGCAACTTCAACAGCAGCAACCCCAACAGGTGGAACAACAGGAACAAGAGCAACAACAAATGGAGGTGGAACAAATGCCGCCTCCTAGTACCTCCAAAAATGAGGAGAAACACGGAGTGACTCCAAGTCAGCGCAGCAAGGAGGATGGACAATCAGACACATCGGGGTCCCAATCCTTCCCGGCATCCTCGAATCAGGCGGAATCCCAAATTAAGAGTCGTTCCTCTTCCCCCTCCCGGGTTTCGTCGCCCTCCTCGTTAACCTCCTCCTTAGGTTCCACCCCACCGGGCACTTCCACCCCTCTGCCCACATCTACCCCTTCCTCACCACTCCCAGATAAAAGGAAAAAGAAAAAAAAGAGGTTTTTTCCGGGTCCTGACCTAATTTGTAAGGTGGACAGGAAAGAACTAGAGAGGGACATGTCCTCACATAGAAATCCAGGCTAGGTCCACTCTTCAAAATAACAACGGTGGACGGCAAATCTACAGAAGACTTCCGTAATTTCCCGAAGGCCCCTGGTATCACTACTTGTGTGAGGGACACAGGGGGGACTTGAAAGTTTGGTTCTTCCTAGAGGAATGCAGGGAGGTGTTCCCGGACATAAGGATCATGGAGACAGGAACTCCAGATCTGAAAAAAATGGCACATTTTTGTGCAGGGAGGGTCCCCGTTTTGCTCCATCCCTCTGTATATAGGGCAGCGAAATTAACCTTCCCTATGGACGTTGGCGGGATTGTCCCAGACGGTCGGATGACGACCGAGTTAGGCACTGGTAGCCTAGGACATTCCGTCGGGGTCCTTTCACCCACAGATTTCCGCTCCGTATGTGAGTAGGTTTTTGCTATTTTTATTTCTTTGCAGGCTTAGAAGATGTCTATCAAGTTAGCGACGCTGAATGTGAGGGGCTTAAGGGATCGGGGTAAGGCTGCCCGCCTGCTCCGGACCTTCTGCCCCTTGATGTGGATGTTGCCGCGATCGAGGAGACCCACTTTGTTTGCAGTTCCGATGCGTGTGTGCTGGAGGATGACTTTGGCGTCTATTCAGCATATGGGGACCGGTTTGCTAGAGGAGTTTCTTTGCTTGTCAGGCGTACTCTTGATGCGAAGGTGGACCTTGTGCTTACCGATGCCGAGGGCCGGTTGATCGTGGCTGATATTGCCGTGAAAAGTAGTTCGTTCCGAGTCGTTGCGGTTTATGCGCCCAATGACCAGGAGGAGTGGGTCTCGTTTTTTCGGCAGTTGGGGCCGTTCCTAGAGGATTCAACGCGCCTAGTTTTAATGGGGGACTGGAATGCCATCCTGGATTCCAAGTTAGACAGGAGGCGGGGTGCTAGCGGGAGAAGGGGTGAACGTAGCCTGGTTGATCTGATCGACGATTATGGTCTCGTCGATAGATACCGGGTCGATCATCCCGGGGGAAAAATGTGGACGTGGGCTCTTAATTGGCCATCTGACAAGGTAGTTAGCTACCTTGACAGAATTTTAGTTAGAAGAGCCGACATAGATCTACTAGATTGCCCTACGTTCCACTGGGTAGGCTACGCGGACCACAAACTCGTTTGTGCCCGGGTGGCGTTAGACCATAGGCCTAGAATGGCTGGGTACTGGAAGTTCAATCTGTCTTTACTGGACGGGTGGGACTTCCAGGAACAGCTAACTAGATTAGTGCAGCGGGAGCTAGTGGGGGCGGTTATCGGGAATAAGTGGTGGGAGCGACTTAAGTCTAGGATTAGGTCTTTCACCACTGATTTAAGCAAACGGCTCGCTCTAGATAGAGCTGATAAGGTGAAAACACTTAAAGCTAGTTATACCCGGGCGGTGGCTGGGGGGGGGGATCCCCTAGAGATAGCCTTAGCTAGGGAGGCCCTGGATCGTTTGAATAGCGAGCGGTACATGGGCCAGGTAATTAGACATAAGTTAAGTAAGATGTCTTCTGAAGCCGTGAACTTGGGCGCAGATCTGCGCAGGGAAGAGGTCCGTCGAGGTGGCGATCGTTACATTCGTGAAGTCGAGTCCCCGGAGGGGCATACTCTTCGGGCCACTGACGACATGTGCGAGGCGTTTCGGCGCCATTTCGAGAACCGGTTTACCAAGGAGTCTGGTCTCCGTGAAGAGGAGTTTCGTAGCTATTTGGCTGACTTTCTTCGGCTTTCGCCGACTGAAGTGGCTAGCTGTGAGTGAGAGATCACGGAGGGCGAAGTCTACGTGGTATTGAAGAAGGTCGGCAGAGGCAAGTCGCCCGCTCTGGATGGTTTGCCCTATGAATTGTACTTGAGGCTGTCGCACATCTTTGTTCCGATTTTGACAGCAGTGTTCAACAACTGGTTTCGGTCGGGGTCCATCCCCAATCGGATCACCAGGGGCGTGATCACTCTGTTGAAAAAGGGCAATGGTGGTGGGGGGAAGTTAAATGATTACAGGCCCATAACTCTGCTAAACACAGAGTTAAAGATTATGGCCAAGATCTTGCAGGCGCGTTTGCAGTCAGTTGCCGAGTCTCTGTTGGGACCTGAGCAGACTTGTTCCGTGAGGGGCCGAACAATTCAGAGCAACCTGCATCTGATCCGCACGATCATAGAAGGTGTAAAAGACGACGAAGAAGCCGCGCTAATCAATTTGGATCAGTCCAAGGCATTTGATAGGGTTGACCATCGCTACCTTGCTACTGTCCTGCAGGCCGCTGGATTCGAACCCAACTTCTGCCACTGGATTAGCCTCCGGTATCGCTCCCCCAGTGCTGTGGTACAGGTGAACGGAAGGTTGTCGGACGCTTTCGTGCTGTCTAGGTCGGTTCGTCAGGGTTGTCCGCTGTCACCTCCCCTTTATGCCTTGGCGTTGGAGCCTCTCCTTCGCCGGCTGAAGGACGAGACCGGCAGTCCGGCCCTACGTGGAATTGCCGTGCCTGGAGAGTCTCGAGCCAGGGTTTCCGCGTACGCCGATGACGTATCTGCTTTCGTGTCGTCCCGCAGCGACATTGAGGCGATACAGAAGGCGCTTGATCGGTACGAGAAGGTGACAGGGGCCAAGATAAACCGCGACAAGTCAACCGGCTTGCGGTTAGGTGCCTGGAAGGGGGTCGCTCTTCCGGGGCGCTTCGGTTGGACGGACGGTCCTGTCCGCATTCTTGGAGTGTGGTTCGGGCCCGACCTCCAGCTGGAGAAGAATTGGTCTGAAGTACGAGCTAAGGTCGATTCTGCCGGTAAGACTTGGAATCGACGGAGGTTTCCCCCTGATTCTTTATCGATTGTCCGTACTTCCTCTCTCTAAAGACCACGGGAAGGCGCTCGAGCGATCGCTATTCTCCATTTTATGGAGGGGACGCGTGAACAGGGTCGAGTCTGCACTAAACGTCCGTGTCATGGGGGGCTGGGAATGCCGCACCTTATGTGTCACATCCGTGCCTCTAGGTTGGCTTTCCTACGCCGCGCATTGACTAGAGGGGATCCGATTCTGGAGGGGATTGTTAGGGACGCCTTCCCTAGCCTTACCATCAGTCCCCCCATCTCGAGGGTTGAGCGCCGTCGTAAACCCCGGGATGAATCGGATTTCCTTCGCGAGTGTCGGTTGGCCTTGAAGGCCATTCCCCGGTCCAGTGACCTTTCTCGGCTTAGGAAGGTCTTCAATCGTGGATTAGTGGCGGGACGCGCGAAGGATTCCCTACGAGATACGCTCGGCTTGTCGGAGGAGGAGTATTGCTCCTACTGGTCTTTGGCGCCAGCGGCGGATTACCTCAGTAACCCCGAGTTTTCGCTTACCTGGCGATTGGCTCGGAATCGACTGCCTCTCAATGACAAGGCTTTCATATGGGGTTTGGCGGATTTGCCAAACTGTGAACGGTGCGGCCTTGGTTTGGAAGAAACGGCTTCGCACGCCTTCTACCATTGCCCCCGGGCCCGCCCCTTATGGGACCATGTCGGCGAGCTGACGGCTCGTCTCGCTCCCGAACAGCTTGTGTCCATTGATCGCGCATACGCGCGTGACAATGTGTCGCCCCCGTATTCCGGGGTGAAATGGATGGTGTTTCTGTCGCTGATGGCCACGGCTCGAATGGTGATTTGGACGACGCGGATGGAGGAAGTCTTGCGGGGCAATCGTCTTTCTTATCAGCATCTGATCCAATTCTTTGAGCATCAGCTCAAGATGAAGATTAGATCTGATAGAAAACGATTGCGTTCGACAGTCTTTAGCGAAAGGTAGGTAAAAGAGGCGAGCTTGGTTCGTGTGACCGGAGCTAGCCTTGATTTTCTTTTCTAGGTCAACCTATGGCACATCGGGGTGGCTTCCTGTGGAACCCTCCCATTGATTAGGTTAGACAAGCTTCAGTGTACCTAGTTAATGAGAGTAAGTGTTGGCCCTGGCCTGTATACCGGCTGCTCTTTGGTTATGATCCAAGTCGAGATTCCCAACCTCCCCAGTTTGTTTTGGTCCCCTTTTATCTCGACTGGGTCAGCTTTATATTTTCCCTTTCCGACATAATATTTTACCCACTTCTCCCACTCCCTTAGCGAGAGCGCTTCTTGATTTTGTCCCCTGGGCAGAATACAGCGGCCTCTCTGTTTTGAGGGTTGGACGGTCCCTACTAACATCAATTATGTTTAGTTTGCATTTTTTTGTTAATTTTAGTTGTTATTGGGTTCATCTCCCTCCCCTCTCATTCTATCATTATTAGAATTTTATGTATAGCATGTATATCATCATCAAATTTTTATGGATTGGGGCGCGTTTTGGTAGGCCCCCCTGGTAAGTATGTGGTATTATGGTGGTTGGAGGATTGATTGGTGATGGATAAGTTCTTGTGGTGAATGGGTAAATTGTAATGTATGAATGGGTCGTGAATCTGATTAGCTAGGTATAGGATAGTTAGTTTGGACCAGCCTTTACCCCTCCCCTTCATCGGCCACGTGCTACAATTTTGTACGAAGTACGAAATAAATCTTCTAGTTACATACATTATATACACAAAAAACCGTAACAGGTACAGTGTCAAAACCGTCTCTGAGCGGTGGTGGTAAACCGTAAATTGGTAAAGAGGCACCTCCCAGTTCGAAAACAACATCTTCTAGGGCCACCAGCGCTCTGTTGAATATGCACATCCTTTGACATGGATTCTCTGTACTTTAGCCAGAGCGACAGAGGATCCCTTAGTTCGCATCGCAAAAGCAATATGGCGAACAGTGTTCGAAACCGTGATGGCGTTCTGAGAAGTTCACCCTCCGCCATGGCTGCATCCCATTGGGAGTCGTCTTCAAGCAATCCCAAACGGAAGCATGCCTCTCTATAAGACTGGCACTCTATGCCGTTGACAGTGCGAATATCTGTGAAACTCGTTGGCCCAGCAATTTTATGAAGTAGAAGGCGGAGGTAAAAGCACTCCTGCTGGCTGGGTGGGGCACAGTATAAACGCGTCCAAGGCAAGAGTTAGACCTTACATCGAGATAACCCTCGACAGGGTCGCCAGCCTTTCGCCAAACCCACCGGTTGTTTGATCACACGTAGTAGGACGGGACTTGGGGGTATATCAATGTTTTGGCAAAAGCATCTGCTGAGCATAATTTAAAGAAAGCCGTTAGGGTTGTGTCTTTAGGGTTTTCCGCAACCTGCTGGGCGTTTTGGTCGGTGAAGTACATCCTCTGTTCATTTTCTAAGTGAACAGTAAACTGCACAATGGCTGGAGCCCTTTGGTGTATGGGGAATCCGAAAATTCGCCAAAAGGCCTCGCTACTGCTGAGGTAGCGTCTAGCCACGTAATCGGCCACCTCGTCAACGCAATTGTCGCGCTGGATACCGAAAACGGCAGCATCGCTGCCTTTATTAACGTACTTGCAGATGTACTTTATTGATTTAACCAAGTGGCAGTATTCAACGTTTATGTGGGCTCCAAAAGTTTTGGACAACAGCGGGCAATAAGGCACCACCCAAAGATTGTCCAGAATGTGCCGCTTAACTGTCACAGTTCTGCCGCCCTCATCCGTCGCAGTCTGCCATTCTGAGATAAACTTACGGGGGTGACCATTTGCGCAAGTGGGGCGCTTGACCAACATGACCTTTTTTCGTAATTCGCGCCACAGGGGCCGTGTATCATATTGTTTTTAATGATTTCGTTGAGCAAAGGATCCAGCGCAGGATACGGAATTTCAGCAGAAATAAAATCGTCTATTTTGTTTGCGTCAACCTTATCGTTGAGTCACAGCAGAATGCTGCGTTTCTGCCATTCCACTGTATACATATGACACTTAACGCGTCCGAAGACTTGCCTTTTAAGGATTAAATCCATAATCTTACACAGCTGTAACCGGAAAACGCGGGCAATTAGGTCAGGGCGGTGTGAATACTGCTGACCTGGAAAAAGTTCGCGTGTGATTTCAACCTATTTCGGATTGCACGTTAACGTGACGAACAAATCAGGCCTCTTGTAATGACGGACATGGGGTCATTGCGTCTTGTGTCCTTTCATGCATGTATCGAGGGCCACCAGTGTAAGAGAAAGGCAAAATGCACGGTTTGCCGAGATTGCAAACCATCACGAAGTTGAATGTAGGAGTCGGTTCTAAGTTTGGATTGGTTTAACTTGATGAATCCCAACCTCTCCGACTCCATTTTTGCAGCCATGTCAACAGTGAATTGAAGAAATAGTTGACGGCACCTATGCAAGTGGTTAAATTCACCCTCCCTAACCATAAATATGTAGGCGTAGTAAGCCCTACAGGAGACCGTCTTTGAGGTCGACATGGAATCGCTGCTTGCTTGGTATATTGGGATTTTGAAGTGGTACCCATCGCTTCCGTATGGAAAAAGAAGTGGGTACTGGAGACAGTCGTATGAACGGTGGGTTTCACTGATGCGGCGCAGACCACCGCCCCGGTACCTTATGACAATGCCACGGCTGTTATACTACTCACCGTAGATGACTGCGGCGACTTCATTACATGCAGGAGCATTGAAGCGACGCTCATGCCCACTGTGAGGCCGTCTGTCTGCATCGATGACAACGCTGAAAGAGGGCGAAGAGTTGTTTTGTAACGAAAACTTTAAGCTTCGGATGTAACTGTTAGTTTCGTGAAGCATGTCTTGTAGACGGAACAGAATTTCTTTACGGGGACCGACGGAAATATCGCTTGGCAGAATGCCGAGACGCGCATCAACCTGCTCGTTGTAGTCAGCGAGAAAGTAAATTTGTAGGAACTGAGGTGACTCTCCCTGATCAGTCAAAAGTGATCCCATTAAGTGGTAAACCTGGCCTTGCACTTTGACAGTAGGCATACATCCCCCCTCACTAATCGCCTTCGCACCAAAAGACGTCCTCTGGAAGCAACAGTTGTACTTCCGTATTGCTTCAAGAAAATGCGTTGACTCCGAAGTTGTACCCAGAAGGAGGTCCCTAAGCGGCTGGGGAGGTTCGTCTAAAGAAGGGAGTTTGATTTTGCCCCCAGAGCAACAAAGCCCAGGTTGCTCACCGGCCCACTTTTTTGCGTTGCAAAAAGTGCAAACTTTATCCATGGCCCCTATTTGTACGTCTCTCCTAGCGGAATAGTTGACAGTGCAGTCATAATTGTATGTGGCATTTGACCAAAATGACGCAGACGGCAAAGTTACGCCATTCAAAGAAGCTCGAAGTTGGCTAATGTTTTCGAGTCGTTGACGGCGTTTCAGAGTTTTCTGCATCCCTGGAAGATGCAGTAGAGCGGGCATTTCTAACGCGACGAACAGTGGTTTGTTCAGGGCTTTCTAGGGCTCTAGCAGATGCAGTAGAACGGGCATTTCTAAAGCGACGGACAGTGGTCTGTGCAGCGCTTTCTAGGGCTCTAGCAGATGCAGTGGAGCGGGCATTTCTAACGCGACGAACAGTGGTCTGTGTAGGGCTTTCTAAGGCTCTGGCAGACGCGGTGGATAGGGCATCTCTAAAGCGACGATGTGCGGTTTCTTGGGATTGTTCCGAAGCTCTAGAGGCGGCTCTAGCCCTTGTATTCCTAAGACGACGTGAAGTTGTTTGCTCGGGGCTTTCTAAATCCCTAGAGCAAGCTTTAGCGGTGGCATCCCGCAAACGACGAAGGGTTTTCTGTGTTGGGGACTGTGAAGCCCTCAACATAGCCACGTGAACTACGTCCTGTGAATTCTGAAGTGAACGTTCTTCAACTGAAAGCCTGGCGCGGCGTGCAGATATGGTTGAAGCCGATGAAGCCAACCTTTCAATCCGCGCAGCGGCACTTACCGTAGATAAGCGAGCAGCTGAGCTTCAGCCATCCATGAAAGACGCTAAGAAGTCTGTTCAGGGGTTTCACTCGCCCTCGCTGCTCTAGCAGCGGAGGCAACTGCCGTGCGCCGTCCCAAAATCTTCCTCCTTTTAGGTGGCATCCAAGCAGTAAAAACGTCAAAGAGGGTAAAACTTAAAAAGAGATTTCGACAAATCCAAAACGAAAAAACGTGCACTGCTAACGTAGACACAAAAAGGGGAACACCCAGTAAAATGAGTTCAGATGTTACTAAAGGGGAACTCGAAATTAAAAAAGTGGAAATTTAAAAAGGTAAACCAAGGGTAAATCCAAAACGAAATGGTTTTTTTTAGTATAATCGGCGAACGTGTGTGGGGTTGGGTTGGAACTATAAAACAAAAAAGCAGCTAGAACACGTAATCAACAACTTGCGGTGTCCGAAATAGGCGAATAAAGTAAGCCAAGTGCGTGCACGCGGGCAACAATAAATGCAAAAGTGTGAAAGCACGCCCAAGTCACGCAAGAGAAGTGGTTGACCTTGAGCGCACTTACACGTAAGCCGACGCGCGATCACGCGGGCGCTATAACGTGTGAGAAATCTTGCGCGATAATTGGACAGGCCCCAAGGTCAAGCTCTGTGAAAGCGACCAATGGGCTTGCAGCAGTCTCGGTATCGACACGCGGACTCGGTTGTACGCATCTGTGTGTGTGTAAGGAAGTTACAAAAAAGATTGATCCGCGTGCAGCTACGGATATTTTTGCCGAAAAATTCTGAAATTTGACACACATAAAGGTGATAGTAAGCCGCAAGTGTGTCGTAAATTTCATTTGAATCAAAACAAAACTGTATATACTGTGCCAGTGAATGTGTGTTCAGAGGCCTAAATCCTGTCCTTTGTTACCCAGTTTATGGTTCCCTGGTCAAGCGGCTTTGACAGTCTTGCAAACAATTTGGTACTTCTATAATAATCAAGCGTTAGTGCTATCAGAAACTGGACCATTTGCTTTGTTTTGGTGGCTCGGTAACAAAACATCGTCCAAAGACTGCGAAAAATCTGCATAAATGGCCCTTACCCGTGCTTTCAAATTGATTTCGTGCAAAAACAATTGTGTTTTTCCAATTTTTGGCGCTGTCAGAACCACCGCCGGGTAATTTTACATAGTCCTGTAAAGTTTTGTTGAAATCGGTTGAAAAATGTAGGAAATCCGATCCCATATATAAACGAACACACACACACACACACACACACACACACACACACACACACACACAACGTGGGTTTTATAATATGCAAGATAACAATCAATTTTCATTTATATTGTATGAAGATTACAATAAGTATTGTAATAAGCGTAAATTTTTTATTCAAATCTCGCATTGTTTATTAGTTTGATTAATGTTAAACTCTCTATATGTGTGTGTATGAATGTTGCTTGTGAGTTTAATTGAGATGTTAAGTGTTGCAAAATTTGTGATGAAAGTTTCACAAAGTAGGATGTAGTAATAAACTATTGATAAGAAAATTAAACAGTTTGTGTCAAATAATAAATTCTCATTAAATTTGTGTAAATTTAGTTCGAATAAAGTTGTCTTCCTTTGACTGTTCCTGATAGACTTGAAGTGGGAATGTTCGTGAAAGTTCGGAAGATGATTTTGCGTTGGCTGAATGAAATTGCAATGTTTATTCACCAGCAAGAATGATTATGAGCTGTTGGGTGAATGGATTGATGAGTGAGCGAAATTTCTGGAGGTTTGTTATATGTTCGCAAGTAACATTGAAGACTTCAGCTGAAGTGACATAGGTTGTTTTAGCAAATAGTTTGAAGTCACAATGCTCATTGGCAAAGTGAGTTAGTGTTCTGTATTTATTTACTTGGGTAGGCACGAACACTTTGACTTGATCACGCGATGAAAAAAACTTGTGCGTAGGTGGATGGCAACGCCCACTTATATACTTGTTAACCAATTAAAACTCGAATATTAAAAAAAAAAATATGTATATGTGATGTTGGATCTATTCAAAACATCGCTATGATCCACATTTTGCACAGAAATTGAACAAGCTATTTTTAGTAATTCGTAAAGATGTAGAATTAGGATTCTACACTATGTAGCAACGTCCTCTCTTATGTTTGAACAGCTTGGAGACAACCGCATATTTGAATTTACATTTAAATTTCGGGCCATCAGGAGAGAATGTGCACCGTTTCGGGCCTTCCTCTCAACGGCTTCACTTACACCCCCCCCCGGATGTGAGACCCCATTATTATGATATACTAGTATAACTAGTGTATCGCAGATGTACTAGTTCATATATACAATGGCGAAATTAGATTTACAAAAAAACGGCAAACCTTGCTCGCGTGTTGAGAATACAACGTGAATCTCATTACGCATCCACGATCAGGTCATGTCGTTATATTCGCTGAAATGCTCCACGGAATATTTTTCTTCCATATCCGCATAGAACTATTTTCAGTTACCACTATTAGGCGTTTTATACTTTTGGCCCTATTACGTCCGTTGATTCCAATTTGGCCCAGAAATTGGTATAGGGTGCCTGCAACGAAACGCCTTACTCTAATTTCCACTACTCTAATAATTGCATTGCCCTTCCTTTACCAGCATAGTTTTTAAATTTTCATATTTATTTGTTTTATATTCGTGACTTTGTTCCATCCGGCTTTCATATGGTATTGTTAATCTACCATGATGATTTTATACTTCACCTTTGATAGCAGAACAATATCTGGTCGCAGACCCTTACTTGATATTATTTTGGGGTAATCATTAAGCTAACCGGGAAGGTCTGCAGATATCTCCCAAATGCCACCAGAACTAAGGAAATGTTATCCGGGTATAGCTAGATATTTGCTTGTTTGCTTTGAGCCGACGTATATATTTCCTCTCTCTGCAACAAATTTCTGGTTTGAATTATATGACTCAGACTTCATATAGTTTCTTTATAATTCAGATCAGCTCATCCAAACCACTAGTATTGTGTTTTGGATGAGCTGGTTAGAATTATAAGAACTATAGTTGAAATAAAATAATGTAATTTATAGTTGAAATAAAAAAAAATATATAATTTATAGTCAAATTCAACTATGACTATAAATTATATTTTTTTATTTCAACTATAAATTACATTCAACTATAAATTACATTTTTTAATGTAATTTATTTCATTGATTTCCGTAAGTAAGTATAAAATTAAATTTATTTAATTCAATACTTGTGAGATACAAGTATCAGAAATTGAAAAATAAAGATAAATAAAACCTTTAGCACACCGTGGGTTTACGTGTTGTTAAAGTAGAAACACGTGTGTAACTCCTGATAGAATATTAAAAGGTCCACTACAAGAATATGGCGGACTCAAGTTGAGTCCAACCGAGGATGAAAGAAAACGAACAAGACCAATATATATATATATATCAACAAATATATGTATTAAACAATAAAATTTACAATGGACATAGACATTAACATCTGTGTTTGTGTGTGAACATAAAGAGTTTGTATTTTGGTGAATGTTCGTATGTACGTGTATGTGTGTGTAATGTTCATGGCGTCTCCCACAAATGGAAAGACGCAGTCTTCTGCGAGAGCTTACATTGTAGATGTGTTCGTTGAAAAATTAAGAAATGAAACAGAGAACGAGACAAGAAATCGCCCAGTATTTATAGTGTAGGCAGAGCGTCCCCTAGTGAACAATTTGGACAATTAAGGAGGAGTTAACTTCGACAAAACGAATATGAATAGTTTAAATGTATTTTTCATAAAGGAAAAATCCTTTTTGAAGTAAATTTAATAATACATTAGCAATTTAATAATAATACATTAGCAATATAAAAAACAGATATTGTGGAATCTTCCACGTCAGCCAGAGAATACTTTGCTGTGATCCTCTTTTAATAGGTTTAAAACAGAGAATATAGAAATATAATTCTACAATAGTAAGAGTTGTAATTAATAGCACGAGTTATTAACCTTTAACTTGAAATTCTTAAAGCCTTTTAAGAGGAAATATTTTTATGTGAACTCACAGAAAAGATTTCAGTTCACGAAATAAAGTTCAGTCTCAATGAAAGAAATGTTCAAAGTTGCTTTTTGAATAAAATGTTTGTTTGGCAAACTGAACGTTCTTTGAGTGGAATTCTAGCTGCCTCGATAAAAATCGTAAATGTTAAAATGGTAGTGTCGTTTGTTGGTGAGTAAGTGAATTCAAAGTTTGGGATTATGTTAGGAAATCTAACTTAGAAACCTCAAAGATTTGAACGGTGTGAATTTGTTTGGCGAACTGTTTGATGCAGCAAAGCTCACTGAAGAAGTTGAATAGTTTCTGTTGCTTGGAGTTGAAGGAGTGAATAAGATGAATTAAGAGATGTGCAATGTTCGTACGTACATGTGTGTGTGCGCGCGGGCGTGTGTGTCATAGCGTCTTTATAGCGTTTTCCCTTAAAGGGACAAAAGCGATTTCTCCACAGCTAACTCTTGTATGTGAGAGAAGGCAAAAAAGAGAACGGTTTGAAGATGTCGGTAAGTATTTATAATTAATGTGTACCACGTGATAGGCTCGAAACACATAGAAAGATTTTGGTGCTAAATTAATATTAATTTCAATTTTTGATATTGGCATTAATTGACCAATCAGGAGTCAGAGAAATATCAAGGCTCAGTGATCCACATTTTTTGATAGATTTTGTCGATCGCAGTACTGTTACGTAGGAAATGTAAAGGAATCAATCTTTTTAACCTATGGAATTAGATCACAAATAAAATATTATTAAATTGAAGTAGAACACTAAAATACTGTAATTGAATCCCTTCACAGGATTGTTGAATTATTTCCTTTTTAAACTTCCGTCCAAA